GTTCGTCCCAAAAACCGGTACTTCGCTCTGCTTGTACATACAGATGCGGTAGAACCAATTGGCCGGTCAAGGCGCCAACAAGCAAGCATGTGATTCCTTTTAGGAAGGAATGGACGACAAGCCGAAGCGTATCAGTTTTGCAGACATGGGGAGATGTGGAGTTTACATCCATGGCTGAGTCGACCCAGAATACCGCAAAGTTGGAAAGAATACCTGTCGCAATGACGTTATGCGCACTAATGCAAGTTCGTTGCATTTTTGCCAAAAAAGTAAAATGCAACGCAGATGATAGGAGTTATGAAAGTGGGGGTTTAGAAATCGAAAATGGCGAAATTCCTTGCCACAAACTGACGACTGGTTGAGTAGTTTGAGGAGTTGACCCCATGAATCCATCTCGAATGCTCAATCTCTGACCTATATTCCTTTGTTGGCTAGCAAGGTCAGCTGATGACGGTCTGAGCGGTTATATGAAATTACAGTGAAGAGGCCTTATATGGCTGCCTAAACCGGACACGGGACAGAACCCGCCCACAATGCAGACAGTTTTGCGCTAACTTCGGGGAATATTAGGTTTAAGATTAAGGTGTGGGCTAGGCTTAAGTGTAGAGTTGGCGTTAAGATCAAAAGCGTTGGGATTAGGATAAGGATTATGTTTAGGATTACACTTTGGATTCGTGTTAATTGTCGTGCTTCGGTTTAGGGTATAGTTAGGATTAAAATTGAGGTTACAGTTTAGCTTCATGTTAGGGCAAAGACACGGAAAGACCACAAGACCACCTATTTCAATTGGTTGGGATATTACTATTCCCGTGCCCTGGTTGGGCGGCAATATAAGTCATCCTTATCGAAATTACCAGAAGTACTTTAGTTATCTCCTCAGTCTGCGCGTTGATTACAAAATCTGTCCCTCATCAGTGGAGGGGAAAACCGGCTGTTAAATAAAATACCAACCAAATTACTGGCGTCCGTTTGTTGGTTCGTCGGGCAAAGTAAGTATTGGACGGGCGTGACATGACGACGATGACTAAAGAAACGCAGTCTTAAGCCACATCACGTCAACGGAGCCTCTCAGGCAGCTCTTTTGGACTGCCCCAGCTCTTTAGGATAAGCGCAGTCCACAATCTCTCTCTGGTAAGGGTTCCTTGTAGACATCGCCACAGTAACAAAAAATACCAGGATTGTGCAATATGGGATCGGTGGTAATAGGAGTCATATGGGTGGGGGCATACCCAGGGGAAGGAAAATAAAAAAATAGAGCGTATAAAAGCAGTAAACGAAAGGCCTAATTATTCAGGAAACCTAATGTGTGGCAACGGAAAACGCGCGATGATAAACAATAAACAAAAAGTAAGTATAAGCAAAGCGAAGGCAATTGAATAAACTGCTGCTATAAAGATAAGACCAAATTGGGAGCCAATAGGAAGTACAACCAAAAGAAAACAGGACGTCAGCAAATAATACCCGCGAATTGACTACAATAAAATGACTGACAATCGTATACTGATTCCTCATCGATTTTTCGAGAACAACGTAAATCCCTGACAGACAGGCTTTTTCTCCGTTTGGGCAGATATTTTAGTGTGCTGGGTCCTAGACTAACCCCATGCCGCTAAATATTTCAGTGCGGGGAGTGCATTTAACTACGCCGGCGTTATTTTTAAGGAACCCTTATCCTCTCTCTACCTCGCTCTTTCTTAAACAGACCTCTTGTACGGTAAACCAACGATCCACAGCCGCATGCTTGGATCTCACAAGTTACCTGAAAGTTCTGAGCGACCCTCACAGCTTTCTGAGTTTGTCGCTAACATGTTGTGCGTGTGTGCTGTTTATGTCTTTAGTATACAGCTGTCAAAACTATTTGGTTGGAAGCCTGACTTTTACGCTGCAAATCACCATCACTCTGATCGCCGTGCGTTTCAAAAAGAATTTCCGCAGTTGGTCGGCGTAACAGCGATCGTCTGGAGCATAATACCCCCAGTCAATTCGGAAAGGAGACAGTGGCAACTCATTGTATAGAACATCTTGCCTATGGATACGGTATGTATGTGTTTAACGCTCCGTCCTACCTATGCGTGACTTAATGCCTAGTGGAGTGGGTGAAAAGCTTTTCATTCCGAACGAAAGCAACATAAAGAGTGCGATGACTTTTTCCAGGCAACTGAGAACATTGAATGAGTCACCCGCAAAAACTTGTACTCTCTGTTTACCACGGCGAACAATCCTACATCAAGTATGCTCAATCCGTATGCATTGTACGGCTGCTGTGAGCTTGCCATTTTCGTACGATGTGGAGTACCCTCGGTACTTGCTTTATCTACCGGCTTTGCCTTACTAGACTTGGTCGGCTAAAACAACAGATTGTACCTGTTCGGATGTGTGTACCACCTCCACCGGGTCCCTAAACGAGCTGCGAGTTAGATGCAATGGACCAACACGGGGGCTAGGTAAGGGCACGGTGCGTTCCCATAACAAAGGTCGAACATGAGGTGGCAAGCAAAGTTGTGGATTCACGCCGCGCCAGCCACCTGCGTCCGATCACGCTTCCGGTCTTCTTGACTCTGCCATGACACCGGGGTACACTTGTTCCTGCACCACCATCACTATTCGACGGTGGACCTCATCGGAATCGACTGCCAAACTTTGAAAAAAAATGCCTCAACATAACTAAAAGCTCTGTCAATGAAGACAATTCGTTCAATAAACCTGTGCACAGGAGGACAGGCTTTTTTAAACGGACAGTCGAACGTTGTCAACGGCTGATGGAGGGAAGTCGGTTGTGGAGTAAGTAAAAAGTGAACACTCACGGGTTAAACTCATGCCGAGGTCGAGGCACTTGCGAAAGCGACAGTGCGGGCACTTGCCACGACCGGCGCCCTCGATCTTGCACCGGCCTCCCATTGGGCAGACTGTCCGCAGTTCACGACCGGCGAAGGCCTCGGGGTTTTCGGCACCCTCCTTGTTCTTTCGCACTCGCATCGTCATGTGCCGTGTGAAGAATTTCTAAAATGGAAAAGGC